TGACGTGTATGGTGGCTCCAGTTGAACCAAAATCTTATAAATTGTTCATGAGTGTTTTAAGCAGTTCAAAAAACTCGTAGATCGTGTTTTATCAGATATAAAAGCACTCGGCTACGCCTCGTGCTTTTATATCTGATAAAACACTCCTACTCGTTTTTTAAACACTACATAGCGCTTCTCAATTACACGCGTGAAATCATGTAATTTGCCATCGTGACGAAGTAAGCTTTAGTATTGGGTGATTTCCAACAATGCCGGGAAAACTTTGATTGGCGTCCACCAAAACTTTATTACGTGTCGAAATTTGTTTTCAAGATTTCGCGCGTGTGATTGAGAAGCGCTGTAAAGAGCAATACCAGATGCTGACATACACCACCTATTGAGTCATATTCCTATTGAAAGATGGGTCCTTTGCTTTATGATTTTATAGACATATTTTTATTATTTATATGAGAAAGGGTCAGGTGTCATTAAAAGTTTTAAAATTGAGATTAAAATTGCAATCCTCAATATTGATATCTTCTCAGCGTCTCCAACACTCAACTTTTCCTATCTATGAGTGTGGCCCAGCGTCCCCTTGACTACCAATGTTAATCATTATCGTAAACCATAAAAATGTCTTACTCACTATCGAATTTATAATAAATGCAGCAAACAGTGGCATAACAAAAGAAATATCGCACCTCGGACTTTTTAACAGGTGTGAAAATGAATGCACATTGAAAACATTGCTTGACTGTATTGCTTCTGAAGACAGTCGTTGGCCATGGTTAATTAAAGATATGGAGACTGTTAGCTGGCGTATAATTCTTCTTCTCATCGATATACTATCTCCATCTACGCTATATCTCCAACACAATCCCTAAACTTTCTCGTGGAAAGTTTGCAGCTTCTGCAACAACTCTGTCGTCACGTCTTCAAGCGGCAAACGAAGTTGGTCAAAAAAGCTAATTTTAACGTTTTCCTTTAATTTACCACAATATGGCTTTCACAGGTTTATATTAATGTTATACGGATACCAAAAATGCAAAAATATAAAAAGTATTTTGCCATACTGATTTTTCATAACCAATAAAACTTATCCCGAAATAAAGCTATCGTTCCCGAGGCTATCGCCTCTATCTCGATATTTTGGTAAGCTTACCTCATTTGGAAGTGAAGATAGATTACTTTTTGGTGATTTTTCTGCCATTTAAAGCTTTAAAACGTCGGAAATATGAATCAAAACTTGCAGAAGAAACACTCGAGTTCATCCACCATCTTGGATTTAGCTCCGACACCTGGCCTTTGACAAAGGACGCCCAGAGCGATTTAACCACAGGAATCCCGCACAAACGAGAAGAGGATATGAGGTTTTTTCCTGCTAATAAAATTTTCTTGCAATCGAAGGCTGTAACATTTTCAATAATACTTTCTATAGACAAGAGAGAAAAATACTTGCAGAAAATTCAAGGGCAAAAGATCTCATCGTCAGATTTTTTTWWAAATTTGCATGATGAAAGAATATTATACTAGAACAGAAGTTCATAACTAGTTATGAACTTCTGACTAGAAGTAAAATGAGCAAATAAAAAATGGGGTCCCCGACTTTTTTACGGTAAAAACGCGCGAACAACGCAAACATGGAAAGCTCTAAAAAATATTTCATATTTTACCGAAAAAAATGATCGTATTCTTTCTTCACAGACTTCTAGAAAATATCCAAATAACTAAGTATCAATTGAAATTTGTGTTAAAATTTAGAAATATAAAATGTTATATTGGGCTACAAGCTAAAAGTGTGGAGCCTACGTGAATGAAATTCGATTTGATCCCATCGTCAGATTTAAAATTTGTCTAAAGTTAAGTATTCTAAAGTACTTTCAAAAAATAAACGAATAAAAAAGGGGGGTTACCGACTTTTTTTTAGAGCTTAAGAAATTAAAGATGCTTTATTGATATTTTTTTCTTATCAAAACCTTGGAATGACGTCATTACTATGAGCGCGCGCTCACTTCATTCATGCGTAGAAACGATGCGCGCGCACGATACCCATGAAAGTCCTTAACATGATATATCATAAAAAAAAGTCCATATATCTCAAATAAAGAAATTTATCGCGAAATCGAAGGCCTATAACTTCGGTGAACGCTTATAGTTTTAATAATGTTTTATATTCATGTAAAAGATCATTTAATGTTTCCATATTCGTGAAATACCTCGGTGGTTTTTTTGATTACAGATTCATTTACTCAATGTGGACTTCAAGTCCGTTATTTTTAAGATATGGGTGTAGAAACGCAAACGGGCTGCGATTGACTATAAGTCGTGTCTTGATCAGTGTCTTGAT